CACTAGGGCGGTAAAACACCCGCATCCTGGGAGGGGGAGGATCTACAGGGTGTGCTTAAAACTCGAGAAAGTAGCAGAAAACCCAGCTATCCTTGATCATTGGGGTTTAGGTCCTGACTAATGCAACAACTCGTCCCAGCGAGTAACAAAGCTACACAAGGCACCACACTTCATTATACACTCATCCTTCAATCATAATTGAGTATACGTAAATAGCGTCCCCAGCATAAAGTAAAAATTTATAAACCCACGATTTTCTTTATGAATGTCAACCTATCATGATCACGATCAAGCAAAAACTGTCATGGCACATACATGATGCATCATAGTTGTTGATGTTCCCGAGGACAAAATGTTTTGTAATTTTCTGTACTATTCTGAAAAGCGTGATGTATATATACTCTGATCGCGTTTTTTATTGCTTACTGTTTTTTATGGTTACCTGAGTGATTACCTGATATTTAATAATTGATAGCAACGAATGTTGAGTCCTTCTTTTGTTTAACCATTTAATCATACAATTAAGGATGAATTAGCTTTTAATTAGATTTTACCCACTGATATCATCAGTGGAATAAATTATGAATGCATACCTCTATTTATTTTGAACATAGCTCGTTGAATGGTTGTTGATATACAGGGTGTTCAAAAAAGGCGGGACATAATTTACGTAGAGATTCCTTGGGTCAAAATAAAGAGGAAATCAAACATAACATTTTTTCAAAAATCGCTTCGTTAACCAGACATCCGCCATTTTGTATTTTTTACATAAACATTTTTACCTTTGAATTTTTTCGAACAACCTTTATGAAACTTGGTATGTATGTTAAGGTAGAAGAGACCCATGTTAGAAAAAAAATCATTTTGGTTCAACCTAAATTTTTTAAATTGCAGCCATTTTTATTACTCAAAAACGGCTGATTTTATGAAAAAATGTCAAGAACACTTTTATTTAGCACTTTTAATTCCTCCTCCAAACGGTACCAAATTAAAAAAAAAAACGAATAAGAAATAGCTGAAATATTACGATTTTTTGTTGTAAAATGGGGTGGAAGAGTCTAAGATAGTCCAGTGTTTTTGAACTTGGTACCGTTTGATAGGGAATTAAAAATTCTAATTAAAATTGCTCTTGATATTTTTTTCATAAAATCAGCTCTTTTTGTTTAATTTAAGTTAGCATGAATCTATTGTGAATTGTAATTTAACAACTGCTTAGGTAATCACTACGTAAATTATGTCCCCACCTTTTTTAACACCCTGTATAGATAAAGATACATATAGATGAATATTATGTGACCTAATTAACTGACAGACTAAATCATCCCTGTTATACCAAGTCAATCAAAACATGTTTAATGGAAATTTATTCATCACTTGCAAAACGTCACAACAAAATGGGCATCAGTTTGAATCCAGGGTTGGTAATTTGTTGAATAAATATGAGAATTAATTGAAAACAAATTTACCTAAACTATAGAGCCTAATCTACTATCTAGTAATTGATACAATTCGGTTGTTTTTTAACCCTAAAACCTATATTTTCTAAATTTCCCTATAAAATAAATGGGTTTCGAGAAAAATGTTACTTAGTGGTTCTTTTAATGTATCCTATACTATCAAAGATTCGCCAACGCTTGCATTACTAAGTAAACGAATTGTCTAAGCTTTTTAAAATGTTTACAGACTTATGAAAATAGAATAAAACCAAACGCCACTTTGAATTTCGTGGAAGTAACACCTGACAAACCAGACGTGCTTTGGCGAGAAATTAATGTCCAAACATTTATAGATTGAATGAGAGTTCATTCGAATCAATCTATCCTCCCATAATAAATAGCAGTTTCAATCATTGTGAATAATGATGTCAGTGTTGCTGCGTTTGTTGGAACAGAAAAACGTATAGTCATTTCTGAAAAAAGTGTAAATGTCCTCAAGTATAAAATAGTATAAATATTTCATATAGTCAAATTGTTTGTAAATGTTATATTTTATAAAAACACATATCTTGGTTTGTGTTAAGCCATTATATCGTAAAGTTTTACAATCGAAGTTCATCTTTTGTGGGATACAAAATCTTACTTACAGCAAGAACATATAAAAATACAAAAAAATCTGTCGACAACTATGATGTCGCCAAAAATATGATGTCGTCAAATATGATGTCGCCAAACATGATGTCGCCAAATATGATGTCGCCAAATATGATAGCGCAAAATATGCTGTCGCCACCTCCTTAACCATCTGCCCACACTGACTCAAACATGCGTTATAAACAACATCAACAGTCTGAGCACACGTGTGGTTCCAAGAAACGGTCTCATAGAAAGCTCTTCAACGATTCTTACTGCGCTGGAAAGTTGTTAAAATAGTGTCACTCTCCACTGTGACAAGTAGCTTTTGAATTGTGCAGTTACTTAATAACAGTTATTTAATAACGATTCGTTAGTAATGTGATTGTAATAAATCCTATTTAGATGGCAATAAGTTCAACAATTGTAATATTAAATATTTGAAGAGCGAGCTAATCTAGTAAACAGGGAGATATCGGTCCCCAAGGTCCTGGGTTCGAATCCCGCCAAACACAAATGGATTTTATCTAAGTGATAAGGTCATAAATACCCCCTTGATTTAGCCTGAAGTAATGTGGAAAACTATTCCGGATTAAAACCTAGAGGGAAAATACGTATTTATTTGATGTCAGTAGTCATTGCAAATAAATTAATCATGGCTACTTGTTGATTTTCACCAGAGTAAGGAACAGTTATCAGGAATGTATAAAATTAATTTATTTTACAAAACATTTGGGCCTACAACATAAAATGTAAATAAGGCTGAATTAAATTCTATGACCAGCATTTCATCAATTTTTATGAATATTTGTAGTCTCAAAACGAAACATTTTTAACTTTTCAAGTCATAATCCGCTGAATTTTTACAAAACTTGAATCAGAATATTCCGACAGTACATTCAAAAATAAATCGCAGAATATCGCTTAAGGGCGATATAAGAATTCTTTGCACGTTGCTACGATGCAGTTTTCTTGGTTTAGCAGCAGAATCAGTTAAGCATTCGGCGTATCTTAAGCCTAAGTAAAATGTTATTCGTTCTACGTGTATTATTTAAAATTTATCTTTAGTTAATTGGGTACTTACACCGACCAAACTGATAATTCGACGTCCAAATAAGGTTTTGAATTAGTTGAAATAACAAAACCTTCCTAACCTAACCTAACCTACCTTAACCTAGCCTAACTTAACCTAACCTAACTTAACCTAACCTAACTTAACCTAACCTAACTTAACCTAACCTAACTTAACCTAACCTAACTTAACCTAACCTAACTTAACCTCACCTAACTTAACCTAACCTAACACCTAACCTAACTTAACCTGACCCAACCACCCTTAAGTTAGGTTAGATTTTAATTATCACGTGTGGTCGGTATAATACTTAAGTACCGTGAATTTACACTAGGTAGGAAACTGGAAATTATGTTACAAAAATTAGTGTAAAGAAATTAAAGACTTATTTGTAAATATCTTAAAGGCAAATTCAACATGCTAACCACTTAATAATAAATTATTACAGTACTTCGGTTAATATTTTGCTTATAAAATATTTAATTTCGAATCCTCTCTAACGTGTTTTGCTTATGCAAAACTCTCAGTAACAAAAAGAGAAGCTCGGGAATGTCTAATTGACAATTTGGGCTAGATTCTCCTCAACTGAGGAAATGCTAATACGTTTCTTTTCATGAATATTTAATTTGCCTTTCGTTATGATAAGATGGAGATATTTCTTCAAAAATGTTTTCTACCAAAGTGGTTATTCTGAAAGGTAAATATTTACATTTTGAAATTTAAATTATCATAGGTTATAAAGGTGTTAATCGGTTTCTTCAATACTCTCTATTGCACTTTATTTGTATTTTTTCGCACAGGATTGTATGCTCTCGATAAATTAACTTACCAAAGAATATTTACTATCATAATCTATATATTAATAGGCAAGCATGTTTCTTTAAACCCTTTTTTCTCAGCTCGTGTGCATCGCAAGGAAAATCTACGCATTCTTTTAGAAAGATAGTTTCCTTTAGATGTACAGAATCCCTTTATAAATTAAAATAGGTTTTAAAATAAAAACAACAAATGAATTTAAATTTTTTTTTAAATGGGTCTTATGGGTTGTCATGCTGGTGACGAAATAACAACAAAATATAAACTGAAAATCCAAACAAATGGAAGAAATTCCATTCACATCTATTCACTGCGAGGGGTAAAAATAGGGAAGTCTGCACATTACATTATTTTTGGTCGAGTTTTCGACCACTGGACGACCTCTAGTATTGACTTAAACTGTAATTAGTAATTATACAGCATAATAAAGTCGTTCTTGAGACAATTTTACAGTTGGGATAAAGGTATGGGATCATTGAGGATTCGAAGCACATAACAGTGCAGTGTTGTGTGGTGTGGAAAGTGAACATGTCTCTCATAGTAATAAGACAAAACTTAATATCTTATGGAAATTTTTGGGGGTTTTCGCCTAAATTTAGAGTGGGAAACGGGTGAAGCATGATTTAAAATGACACATAAAAATAGTAAGTCGACTTTGGTTTTATTTTGTTCACTCATTTATAACCATGGATAATATATTATTTCGAGTGCTTTTAAACTCGAAAATGAAGGTTAAATATGACTGTGGGGCTTAGCAAATTAAATAACCAAGGTATAAATAATATTGTATTACATATAACGTTCGGTATATATTTATTTGATACGGTTAATTTGCAGTACAAATCTTGTTTAAAATTATGAATATTGTGTAAAATCTTCATTTGTAAATAATGGCTATGTGTAAAAAAACATACAGTATATCAAACCTATAGAATATGAAATGCACTTTAGAAAGCGTGTAATACAATTTTTAACTGAGAAGTTCGTGGGTTTACAGTTGTTTTCCTCTAACATAACTTACACAGTATGTTTTGTTAGCTTACCTTTATTCAACTATCCTTGGCCACCTGAAAAAGACAACATGGATATTACAAATCTAGTTCATTAAGTATCACAATTATTGATATTTTCCTAAACTCAAATACCAATACTGTACCAATTCTAATTTTTTAACCTTATTCTCAATAATAGTATATTTAAAAAAGGTTTATAATGCTATTGTTGTACTTTTGTATTGTGTGCTTAAAGTTATTTTTCATCTCCTTTTATATTATTTTGCCCTCTTTATATTTTATTCTCCTCTCAAATTACATTATTCTACTCTGTATTCTGTTGTATCACTTATCATTTTCTTAACAATTTCACTTGCTTTTATTATTTTGTACATCGCTTGGAAAATGTTTTATACCTTTGGCGAAAAGGCCACGTGTGAACATTTTTGTTTTAATTCGTTTTTTAAACATTTTGTTCGTAATATTTATAATATGCATACAATACACATACATATGATCTTTTTATTGCAAGTATTACTGTTAAGTAACTTTTCAGGAAAATGTGTTTTATTTCTTGTACTGTATATAATTTATGCATTTGTACTTGCCGCCGAGAGAGAGAGAGAGTAGAGGTTTTCAATTGGACCTAGTGGGGTCAGCACAATGCCCATTGGTGAACTTGGCGGAAGGATATTTTTGCGAAGTTTTAGCGTGGCTTCGGGACGCTTGCCCAGTCTGTCGGTTGCCGGGTTTACCTAACACATGTCACTTTGACATAATTCATTTTCTCTGCCATTGCGGCTTTCCCTCTCATAGTTTTAATTCTCTATTATTGCCACTCGGAATAGTCCGTGGCCCCTTTGTATAGTACTCATAACATTTTTTCCTCTTTAAATTAAATTAATTGTACTAACCAGTGTGTAAAGTCAGTTTTAGCAGTGAATCCTCCCATTCCGGTCTACCGCGGTCGTGTAGGAACTTCTTGTGAGCGCTCATATGGACTGTATAGACTTTTAGACGTGCGTTATTCCGACATCAAGATCAAGACTTCAACATAGGAAGATAGTGTCAAGTGTTGTGCCTTCGTCTTGAGGACATTCTACCATCTACCATCGCAACTCGGCCCCGCGGCGCTTCCTTGCCGCTCACTACGTCCGACATAATTCCAAAGGTACATTCATCCATAAATCATTATTAATTAATCCCATAGTAAACAATTACCAAACCAAAATGTGTTATTGTGTAACCTTGCATCATTACAACGTCATTGCGATTCAAAAAGATACATTCTACTTAAACACTTAAACACTATAACGCTTAGTTCAAAACCAAGCTAACGCAAATGTAAGTCACGTAGGGATAGAGGTGTAGTGATCGTCCGTTACTACTTTTACGTGACATCACGTCGCCCCGGCTCGTACATCACTATCGATGAGACACGTACAGAATGTGATCAGGATGATAACTGTTCTTACACATTGTCCGTAACGCGAGACAATATGGTTCGTGTTAACAGCAGCCAACTTTTACAAGAGTTTGAGCATTATACGATATTCAGACTAAATTTGGTATCGCGTAAAGACAGTGATAACGACACGAGTAGAAATATAAGGTACGAGCCTTGGCGAGTTCCTTAAAAACCTCTACGAGTGTCGTTAAGACTATTAACGCGAGTCGTGTACACTATTTTACCTATGACTTTTTTTAATTACTAACAATCATTACACATAATTATTATTTTATGTTTTAATTTATAACCTCTCATTGCCACTGACAGTGACAGTACAACGACTCATTGTACCAAACACTAATGCACCGATCATTAACAATTAAATTGGTAAACAGCTGATTAGTTGAAGTTCGAATCATTACAATACTTCTTTTCTCTCAATCCTTATAAACCTCATTGTTACTCGAGTTGTAAGGCAAAACAACAATGTTGTTAAGTAAGGAAACAATGCTAATAAGTGAATTTTTTTCAATTCTATGAACTGGACTTAAACGGCTACTTTAAAAATCGGTCATAGGTCAAGGCCCTGTCACACATGGCGATTTTACTCGCGGCGACTCAAGTTACGACATTATCAAGTTACGACCAATCATAAAAATCGGTCGGGTAGAAGAGCGAAACGAACTCGGCAAAGAGAAAGCAAATTTAAGTCCCATAATAAATACATAGGGAGCAAATTTCGTTTACGTATATGTCGAGTGAGACTATAGATAATTATATGCCGATGCTTGATGGCAAATCTGTGCCTGCATACCTTCAATTTGAGACCTCAATCATGCAAATCGGTCGGGTAGAAGAGCCAAACGAACTCGGCAAAGAGAAAGCAAATTTAAGTCCCATAATTAATACATGGGGAGCAAATTTCGTTTACGTATATGTCGAGTGAGACTATAGATAATTATATACCGATGCTTGATGGCAAATCTGTGCAGGCATACCTTCAATTTGAGACCTCAATCATGAAAAGCGGTCGGGTAGAAGAGCCAAACGAACTCGGAAAAGAAAAACCAAGTTTTTTTAAATATATAAGATGTTTTTTATTGAATTTATATTCAAAGGTATTTAAATAACCGTTTCGTCTATATAACGATGTATTTACTTAACAAGTGTTCATCTAAACAACGACAAAGACATGCAAATAAGATTAGTTGATTTACATTTTATCAAAAGAAGTTTTGAATACATTTTCAAACCGTGAAATTCAAATTTATCTCAGTAGAATAGGTATAGCATTATGAATTCAGTTTCCGTAAGCCTATAATTAGAGAGTAATTCAACTGCATGGTCGCTTTTATTAAAATACTGCACAAATATGCATAGTTTGAACTTCGGTTAAGTGCTTTACGTTTTGAATAAATAATTGGAACATGCTAAAATTTAAAATGAGAGTTCACTTCAGACTTTGAATTATTTGAAATTTGAAATCACCTAATTAGTCTTAGCAACTGTAGACGTCATACAATACGAATAATTCATTTATTTTAATTAGTTTTCGTGTAATGAAAATCATATTTCGTGACCTTCTTTTGTGAGTTTTGATTTAGATTTATAAAAAAACACTACTCCTTCAACAGAAGAATTTTAATTCCTTTTAAAGTTAAGTATGTATCAACAAATAGAAAGTATGAAAAATTCTTTGACAACTTGAAATTGTGTTGTAATCAATAATGATTAATGGTTGGGAATCTTTATGCTGATCGTTTTATAATATCGTGACATTCTTAACGTTTTTAAATTACGGTTTTTTAACGAATAAATAGTTTATTCTTTCTTGCACTTCACACTAAAAAATAGCTTTTTACATTTTGATAAAATATTCCACGTTAAGAATACGTTAATTTAGAATTTTTAATTTCCTATCAAACGATACCAACTGCAAAGATAAAATAAGAAATAGCTTAAGTATTACGATTTTTAGTTGTACAATGGGGAAGGAATAGTTGCAAACATGACTAGCTTCTGCATCATTCTACCCCATTTTATAACTAAAAATCGTATGTTTCAGCTATTTCTTATTCGATGTTTTTGAACTTGGTATTGTTTGATAGGGAATTAAAATGCTAAATAAAAGTGTTTTTTGGCATTCTTTCAAAAAATTAGCCGTTTTTGAGTAATTTAAGTTAAAGATATTAGAATGGCTGCAATTTAGGCATTTTATGTTGAATCGAGATAATTTTTTCTAACGTGGGTCTATTTTACCTTAACATACATACCAAGTTTCATAAATATCAGTTGAAAAAATCTGAAGATAAAAATGTTTATGTAATAAATACAAAATGGCGGATATGTAGTTAACGAAGCGACTTGGTTAAAAACCTAAAAATTAATAAATTTACTCTTTATTTGCACCCATGGAACACTACGTAAATTAAGCCCCCACATTTTTTAACACCCTGTATACATAGAAAAATAAGCTTTGAAACTTATTTATAGTTGGCAATGCTGCACTTAACGTTAAAAAAACTACGCTTACAAAAGACTACTGAACAAAATCAGGAAGTTTGGATTTTTTTAAATTTGAGTTAGATAGTGTTTTAGAAAGGGATGGACAAGTTTACGCTAGAAATTTCTTACAACTAGAATATTTTTTACAACTGAATGTAAGTTATTAGTAATTATATTACACAAAAATGAATACGATTCATTTACGAACAATGCCAAAAGTAGAACATGTCAAGTACAAATTTTTCCATTTTGGCATGGCAAACTTTCAGTACACCGCTACATCACCATAAGTACAGTTTGAACAGTAAGTAGTAAAGACTTGGGAAATATTCGTGATAAATCACATACAGTAATGTGTTTGTTGAAAAGAGCTGCACAGCCAAGCAATAACGGGGGTCGGAATAAATGTAGTGGAAGATTTAATGAACGTCAACCTACCAGGAGAACTTCCGACTGTTGTGACGTCATAAAGATTCTAGGTTGATTTCAAATAGGGCCAGCTGTTATTAATATAGTGAGTATTTATTTAGTTCGTTTGTGTACTTAAAATTTCCAAACGTATAGATGTAATCCAATAGAATATGTATCGTTCAACTGATCGATTTTCATTCATATTCATCTCATACATTTTATTCAGTGAGTTAATGGGTTCACTATTAGTATAGGTTACTATCACTATCAAATCAGCACCTTAGGTAACATAACTGTATTTAGAATACACTTGGTATACAATAATTATTTATAGAGGAAAGAAACGCCATATCGTTAAGGAGTACGTATCAGAAGACAGAATATAGTCTTAAAATGTAGTCATAAATTGGATGAGTATGGTATAATGGTTATGGGGTATTTTTCCAATGGTTAATGTTATTTCCTTTTTTCCTCTAAAAGCCCGGAATTGTTTTCCACATAGCTTTAGGCTGGTATAGAGGCGGTCATGACAATATCACTAAATAACATTGGTGATTGGCGGAATTTGAACCCGGTACCTCAGAGACCGAAGCCTTACCAGCTCGCTCCACCAATAGCAAATTACTTATATCCATTATAAAGCGACGACTCAGGAATTCGGAGCCAATTATTATTAGCTTAAAGTACACCCATCTATAAAGCAATAGTT